AGCCAAAGGTCCCGGGAAGGGCTGTGGAGCCTGGCCAACGGCCCTGCCGGCTGCCGAGAGGCCTTTGAAGCCTGGCAAACGTCGCTTTCGAAGGCATAGGTATCAAAAAAATATAAAGAGCATCCAAAAAAAAACAGGATCAAAAAATACATAAAAAGCGCATCAAAAAATCAATATTCCTTGATAGGCCTTTTCTGCTGCTCTCCTGGCCTTGTGGTCTGCGGGTCCTCTGGTAATGTGGTCCCTTGGTCCACTGATCCTTTGGTCCCCTGGTCGCTTGGTCCTTTAGTCCACTCATCCCCTAGTCCTCCGGTCTCCTGGTCCTCTGGTCCTGTGGTCCGCTGGTCCCCTGGTATCCTAGTCCTTCTGTCTCCGAGCGCTCTGACAACGCCATGTAGGGCCTAACTTCGTGTGAACGCCGTGACTACTGCTACTGCTACCACTACTACTACTACTCCTCCTGCTGCTGCTGCGCTGCTGCTGCTCCTGCTGCTGCTGCTGCTGACTGCTACTGCTACTGCTACTGCTACTGCTACGCTGGTGCTGCTGCTGCTGCTACTGCTACTGCTACTAGTACTACCCCAACCATCCTCAGTGGGCTAGAATATTATTTTTGATTACCTTTTTATTTTTTATTGATCCCCGTTGAATATTTTTTTGGATTCTATTTATATTTTTATTTTGATCCCTTACCCGCTTTCGAAACGCCTAAGGAGTGACATGCACCGGCTTTGGCAGGCAAGGCTGCGGTGCAGGCATGTGCAGCCAAAGGTCCCGGGAAGGGCTGTCGAGCCTGGCCAACGGCCCTGCTGGGTGCCGAGAGGCTTTTGAGGGCTGGCAAACGGCGCTTTCGAAACGCTTAAGGAGTGACATGCACCGGCTTTGGCAGGCAAGGTGTAGGCATGTGCAGCCAAAGGTCCCGGGAAGGGCTGTGGAGCCTGGCCAACGGCCCTGCTGGGTGCCGAGAGGCGTTTGACGCCTGGCAAACGGCGCTTTCGAAACGCCTAAGGAGTGACATGCGCCGGCTTTGGCAGGCAAGGTGCCGAGAGGCGTTTGAAGCCTGGCAAACAGTGCTTTCGAAACGCCTAAAGAGTGACATGCACCGGCTTTGGCAGGCAAGGCTGCGGTGCAGGCATGTGCAGCCAAAGGTCCCGGGAAGGGCTGTGGCCTGGCCAACGGCCCTGCCGGCTGCCGAGAGGCGTTTGAAGCCTGGCAAACAGTGCTTTCGAAACGCCTAAAGAGTGACATGCACCGGCTTTGGCAGGCAAGGCTGCGGTGCACCGGCTTTGGCAGGCCTGCGTTGCAGGCATGCAGCATGCGGCCAAAGTCGTTGGTGATGGCTTCTCGCTGCGCTGTCCGAGGCGCCGCCCCGCTTAGGCCAAGGCTAAGCAGGGGTCGGCGGACTTGAACATTTTCAACCAATTGTGTTCTACCGCATAGGGGGCGTTGACTGAAACTGGGCCGAGCTCTCGCCAGCTCCTCCCGGCGCCCCAACGGGCCGAGCTCTCAGGTTGAGCCCGAAGGCCAGTGCGCTGGTGGCTGTGGGCATTTGCCTGCTCTTCCTGGTGCTTGTGAAGGTGGTGATGTTCCCAGGGCCCATTGAAACAGGACAGATCAGAGCGGGATGACGACCTGAAAAGCAGTCAGAATGTTGGAATCACCCAACTCCTTCAACATCCGGGAGCGTAGCACTGCCAATGTCACTGTGCAGTTTGTCTTTGCATTCCTGACCGCTGGCCTGCTCCCCTGCAGGCCCTTCAGGTCCGAAGAAGGCCGAACCTCAGAGTCTTCAGCATCCAGGTGAGACGACTGGTCGAGTGGTCGAGACGATTGGTCGAGTGGCCCCCAGCAGTAGAAGTGGATTGCCCGGATGATCCGGGCGCGCCCAGTGAAAGGAAGATGACAAGGGTGGGAACTTGCCTTTGGGGAGTGAGTTTTGTTTATGTTAACTTGATGGTTTGCGTTTTCTTTGGGGAGCAGAGTGAGTGAGGGTCTTCTGAAACATTTTGTGGGGGCTTATTTAGATTGACTGCCACGGAGGCCCGGCCAGCTTTGTGGCTTTCAGAAGGTCCGTAGTGACAGATTTGGCGCAAGTAGATTTTTCACTGGAAAGGGGCTTCGACACCCGCTGATGATGGACGACATGCACCAGCACCATGTGAGAAATCCTGGAATGACCTGCCCAGGGCCGAGGGGCTTCAAAACCCACCCGTCAAGAGCAATACCAGCCCATGCATAGGAGAAGTTCTAGTACAAAGGACAAACCAACACCATGATCGCAACGAACACCCCCTGAGTTGCCTGTCCCCCAGTCAGATCACATGCTGGAATAAGAGCATCATTGGCCAAAGGACTAACCGTTAAACTTGGTGACCAACCATGTTTGTTTGGAGGGAGGGTCCAGCACGAGCCGCTTCCCCTGTGCCACGTTGCGCGCTGGTGGTGTGGCAGGTGGCCAGAATCTTGATCAGCCCGCCAAACAGAACTTCCTCCAGGCTGAGTGAGCCATGGTGACACAAACCATGTCATTGTTGTTTTAGGTGTTGTCCAAACGTTCTCCTGCAAATTTCAGGATCCCAGTCCGTCACCTGGTCAAGACGGGCTGGGTGGCCCGAAGGGGGGGCGATGGCGGCGATGATGATGAGAAGGGTGCTGCCTGGCTTATTCCCAACTGGAAGTGGGGCCTGCCCAGAATATACGTAGCCCAACTTCCAGCCCAACCCCACCCAGCTGGCCTAGTATTTCACTCATTCAGATTTGATGAATATTTGAGGCATTTTGAGGCGACGGTCTGCTGCCAGACCTTTTTGTAGCGCAGTTCTGATCCAAGGCGGGGCCTGATGAAGGCGACGATGATGACAAGGTCCAAGGGACAGATGATGGCAAGGTCGATGGGAAGATCGATCCCTTCCGCCCACGAGATGACCAGGTGGACGATGACCCTGCAGATGGCCAAGTGGACGACAACTCTGGTGGGGGGAGAAGAATCATTATATGATTATATGTATATATATATATATACACAAGATATAGAATATAATATATATAGATACGATATATATATATATAGATATATATATATATATAGATGGCTTGAAGTCTCATTCCCCCCGACACCGGTCCACCTTCCCGGACAGGCAATGGTAAGGACGAAGTCTGGGAGAAGGACAAAGAAGCTGATGAGAGCGAATATGGTTACTCGAACCAGGCTGCAGCTGAAGGCAAGGGTTTACCTACAGTCCCTGGAGAGCCAGACCCTGAAGGCCGCGAAGGCCCCGGAGGCTCCGAAGGCGATGGTGTACCTGCGCCTGAAGGCCCCGAAGGGGCCGAAGGTGATGGGGCAGGCAGCCCAAGTGCTGGTGAGACGGATGATGATGACGAAGACACCGAGCCAAGCGATGGACAGACCAAGGATCCCACAGTGGCAGGTCACGGTGGGGCCAAGGTGGATTTGAGTGAGGGTGAAGGTGCACTAGGCGAAGCAACACCTGCACCACAAGCAAATGCTCCGGCAGTTGCAGAGCCTAATGTGGCAAGCCCGCCAAGCGAAGGTTCCAAGGAAGCAGAGAAAGCCACGCCTGACGAGGCAAAACCTGCGCCAGAAGCAGATCCTTCTAAAGCTGCGGAGCCTAATGTGACAAGCCCACCAAGCGAAGGTTCGAAGGAAGCAGAGAAAGCAACGCCTGACAAGGTAACACCTGCCCCGCAAGCAGATGATTCTAAAGCTGCACAGCCTAATGTGGCAAGCCCGCAAAGCGAAGGTTCCGAGGAAGCAGAGAAAGCAACACCTGTCAAGGCAACACCTGCGCCGCAAGCAGATGCTCCTGCTGAAGGTGCAGCCACACCCGCTCGACATGGTGTTTCGGCACCTGCTTCAAGCAGTGTGCCAGCACTGGATCCAGTTGCACAGCCTGATGCCCCTGGTGTGGCAGCACCTCCGCCGCAAGCCACTGGTCCGGCAGCGGGGCAGCCTAATGCTTCTGGTGAGGCAACACCTTCACCAGAAGCAGATGCTTCTAAAGCTGCAGAGCCTGATGTGGCAAGCCCGCCAAGCGAAGGTTCCAAGGAAGCAGAGAAAGCAACGCCTGACAAGGCAACACCTGCGCCGCAAGCGGATGCTCCTGCTGAAGGTGCAGCCACACCCGCTCGACATGGTGTTTCGGCACCTGCTTCAAGCAGTGTGCCAGCACTGGATCCAGTTGCACAGCCTGATGCGCCTGGTGTGGCAGCACCTCCGCCGCAAGCCACTGGTCCAGCAGCGGGGCAGCCTCATGCACCTGGTGAGGCTACACCTCCAGGGCCAACAGATGCTCCTGCTGAAGGTGCAGCCACGTCTGCTGGAAATCATGTTTCGGCACCTGCTTCAAGCAGCGTTCCAGCAGCTGCACCGCCTGAAGCGCCTAGTCAGGCAATGCCTGCGGCAGAAGCAAATGCTTTGGCTGCAGGGCAGCCTGATGTGCCGAAACCAAGTGTTCCAAGTGAGGTTACACCCGCACCTGAGGGCGCAAGTGCTCCAGCAACTGCCGCGCCTGAAGCTGTGCCTAGCGAAGGTGCAACGACTCAGCCTGGTGAGAGTGAAGGCGCAGCTGTGACCAACCCGGCTGGTGCTGCACTGCCCAATGTTTCTGAGAGCACCCACGCCGGCCAAGCTGTTCCTGCAAATGGTCAGACCCTTAGTTACTAGCCTCAGAGGATGGACCTGCCGAAGCAAGTGAAGAAGTCGGTTACAAAGCAGAGCTAGCTAGAAGAGCCTGGATACGATATAATGTATTCATCATAATTTACTGTAGCCTAATTTTGTCGCATGGCTCGTGTGCTTGGGTTAGGGCTTCAATTCATCAGCAAAGTTGCACCTTTTAGTTCAGCTTTCCACGGGTTTTAATCATTGACATCAGCAATCATCATGACTGCTTCAAAGTTCATCAGCCTCAGAACAGCTGGAACTCCTACAGCATGGGAAAGATAGTCAGAATATGACAAATGATCCCGGCAAGAGACCCCAAACAGTGTGTGTGTGTGCCCCTTGTAGTCACAGGGATTCGTTTGAATTGTTTTTCATCAGCAGGGGGGCAATGAACACTTTGGAAGGCATTGCCCAACGAAGACCCTTCCATCGTGTTGTGATATTCCTGAGGGACGCCTCGGGAACGTACCTGCAACAAATTTTGACGTTTGTGGCAGTCACGCACGGAACGCCGTCACTTCGACCTGATCGTGGATCTCGACCTTGTGCTTTGGGCCTCCTTTCCTTTTAAGACCTCCAGGATTCGATGGCTTCCTACTGGTACTCTTAGTAAATGGAACCCTAGGCCGGCGTGTGGCACCGCTTTCAGTTCCGTACGCGTATCCATAAGTGTGTTTGGCCTCGTGCCAACCCGGGATGAGCCCGCAGAGTGCCTCCCCTTGACCCGTCGAACGGGGGTTTGTCGTTATCTCCCCTGCCCGGAGATGTAAGTGCCCACAGCGGGCGAAGGTGGCCTAGGCCGAGAGAACTCAGATTTTGTCTCATTTTGGAATTCCAAGTTGGCTTATCCCTTTACGTGACCGCAGCGGTCTCAGCAGCCAGCCATATTGGCACGGCGTACGTGGCCGCAGCGGCCGAAGCAATCTAGGGTCCGTTGGGACCCGTCGCCACCTCAGATGCACACACAGCATGTACATTTTCAACCAGGTTTGCATAGGTTCTCTAATGAGGTTCGGCTTCATTGGTTCCCGTCCCCTCCATTTGGTTCCCCTTTTCATTCTTTCCCCTTCACACACCTCTTTCTCCTCTTTCTTTTCATGTCTTCCCTTGCTTCATGTCCTTTCATCTCACTCCTTTCTTTCTTTTGCGCGCACAACGGTCTGGGCCTTAGTCTGTACGCGCACATCTACTTGCACACTCAGGTTTTAGGTCGCCCAGGTCTCGACAATGAGGTGGGATTCATCGGTTGTCCCTGTGCACTTGGTTTCTCTTTCATCGCAACCACACACACTTTTGTCTCCGTCTCGTCCCCCTTCTCATGTCTTCACCCTTTTGTCCTTGTGGCGCGCGCATTTGCACTTTCGTCCTAGCCTTAATTTTTGCCTCCCTTTGGGGAGGCGTGTGTGTGTGTGCCCCTTGTAGTCACAGGGATTCGTTTGAATTGTTTTTCATCAGCAGGGGGGCAATGAACACTTTGGAAGGCATTGCCCAACGAAGACCCTTCCATCGTGTTGTGATATTCCTGAGGGACGCCTCGGGAACGTACATGCAACAAATTTTGACGTTTGTGGCAGTCACGCACGGAACGCCGTCACTTCGACCTGATCGCCGATCTCGACCTTGTGCTTTGGGCCTCCTTTCCTTTTAAGACCTCCAGGATTCGATGGCTTCCTACTGGTACTCTTAGGAAATGGAACCCTAGGCCGGCGTGTGGCACCGCTTTCAGTTCCGTACGCATATCCATAAGTGTGTGATGTAGTAGCAGAAAGTCTAGAGATCTAGACGCCTTGGGGTCCAAGAGGGGTGATGGTGGTGATGAAGGTGGAGATCGTGGTGATGGTGGCGGCGGTGGTGAGTGAGTGACCTGTTGTGAGTGAGAGTGAGAGTGAGGGTGGGTGAGTGGGTGAGTGAGAGTGAGTGTGAGTGAGAGTGAGTGTGAGTGAGAGTGAGTGTGAGTGAGAGTGAGTGTGAGTGAGAGTGAGCGTGAGATTTGGTGTGAGTGTGAGTGTGACTGTGAGAGTGAGAGAGTGAGTGGGCGTGAGTGAGTGTGAGTGTGAGTGTGAGTGTGAGTGAGAGTGAGAGTGAGAGTGAGTGTGAATGACTTCGAGCTTCGCAAAGTGCTGTGCCTGCCACGAAATCTGCACTTGGAGGCAGGAAATCTGCACTTCGAGGCAAAGTACTCCGCCTGCCACAAAATCTGCAAACGAGCCACATGTCCAAAAGTCACGATTCACCGCACCTGTCACGACATCAGAGCACCTCGAAGACCACGACCATGTCCAAAGTACTGCACCTGCCACGAAATCTGCATATCGAAGTGAAGCCGCTCCGATCCCTTGCGTGCGCGCGGCACCACAACGAGAGCGCAGTCGCTAGAAGAACCCACCGCGGACACCCAGATTTTGCGAGCCTGCGCAGTCGAAATGCACGTCGACGATTTTGAGAGGCATGAATGTACTGGACACGGCCGCGCATCACAGCGATCTAAGCACAGCTGCTTAACTACTACCGTAAGAACCCCCTCAGTGTGTCCACACTGTTTGGGGAAATATCTAGAAGGAATCATGTGTGCATTTTTGGGAGCAGTGCGGATAGAACATCCTGAGAAACACATTGGAAAAACATCTAGCGCTATCGAATGGATCGGGTGCAAATACCTCTCAGCCTCCCATGTTTGCAGCCGTATGATGTTTTGTACAATGTACTGTCGCTGTCACGTGTTAAGTGCTGTACTGGTCGTGCTTACTGCGATGTGCTGTTGTTGTGGTTGTTGCTGTTGCTGCTAGCTTGCATCATGTGAGTCATGTAGATCGAGAATTTTTTTTTTGCTGATAAAACATGCATAGATTTATCTCTCTGAGTGTGTGTTTTTTGGCGGGCCATTGGCTCGTTCAAAACTGGTGCACTATTCTAACAATCTTTCCCGTTCAGTATCCT